TACCCGCTGCAGCTCGGTCAGACCTGGCTGAGGAGCGAGGGCTCCCCCCTACTGCACGGAAAAGGGCAGCCTTCCCCTGCCCGCTGCTCCCTTCTCTGCCCTCCCTCCCTGTAACTACGATGTTTACGTTTGTGTTTTAACACAACGTTGTTCTTGATCCAGGTCATCACAGCCAAAAAATGGAGAAGCAAACACAGGGCTTCAGGAAAAAGTCCAACTGTAAAAGCACTTGCTCTGTGCCTCCAGAGGTTGCACACGAGGAAGATCTTAGAAAGCTCCTCTGACTTCACTGTCCACAGACCACACAGTCCGTGTTAAGTCAGGGCTCATTGATTAGTCTGGTTCCAAGCAAGATCCCACCCAGAATACTTCATCAGTGATAACACATCCTCACCCTGGCCAGCCTCCTCCACGGCTCCCCTTTGCCACTCAGTGCTCAGGGGTAGGAGGACATGCCCTCAGAGGGAGGTCCCCTGTGAGAATGATGCGAAGACCCCACGTGTTTGCAGTCTCACCTCAGCAGGTCTAATATAATCTCCTCTCAGGGGTCACTGTCCACACGGGGACAGAGCCACAGTCTCCGCCTGTGCAAGTACATCCTCAGGGGGTGCAGGTGAGGTATCCCCTCCCACAGGTTTCACCTGAGTTCTTCAAAGCAAAACCTCATCTGTCAGGAACATGTGGCTCAGTAGGATTGCTGTCTGCAAGCTGTGGCTGCTGGGAGCAGTAGGACACACGTCTGCATTCCCCCTCCAGAGACAGCTCAGGAGATGGTGCACATGCATCGCGTGGGCCAAACAGCATTCCCTGGCATTCCCTCTGGAGCTGGAGGCTTGCCAAGCTGTGAGTGCCTTTGCATAGCTTTGCATCCCAGCTGGAGATGTTCCTGCTGGAGGCAGCTGAGGTAGGGACCGTGTACTCCAGCACCTTGATGTGCTGCCAGCCTCTCTGCAAAGCGTGGCTGAGGTGGCACCAGGACTGGGGTGGGAGCCAGCCTTGCCCTGACCACCGAGGAGCAGGTTCTCAACCTCACACTTCTCTGCTTGCATGGAGCACATATGTTCCTCTGCCAGCCTTACTCCACATACAGCTACCTCTTTTCCCAGTATGGAGGAGGAGAATCCCAAGTACTTTGAGGGGAACACGGTTGGTTTATTATCAGTCCTTGTGCATCAGCCAAAGACAAGGCTGACAGCCTCAGCTGCTGCAGCATCTCTCTGAGAAGCCCTGCCTGCCCTGCCAGACAGGCCCCTGCCAGACAGGGCCCACCAGCCCCCTCCAGCCCCTGCAGCATTTGCCCCCACCAGCAGGTGGGCAGGGGACCCACAGGGAGGGGAATCAAAACTCACTGAGCATCATCACCTCTGGATCCAAAATTTATTGAACTACAAACACACAGCACTCAAGAGCACCAGGTCTGGAGGAATGTGGGGGAACTCCCACCATTAACACAGAAGGCAGGAGCTTCAGCTACTGCTAGATTTGAACACAGACAACACCCCAAACCTAACAAGCAATGTTACATCAGAATTACAATGGTAACAACACAGAATTTACAAAAATATAAATAACCTATTTGTAACCTTAAAGAAAAATAACATCCACCATAAAAAACACCATGTATTACTCTGGGTAAACCATGGCTACAGAAATGTAGTGATTATTTTTTTTTAAAAGCACCAAAGTCTGCAGTATAAAATAATCCAACACAGAGGGCATCTTCCCCCGACACTTGCAGACCCTTCCAAGAAGTGTGCCCAGATCAGTAAAACAATGTCTTTGTCAGTATTGCCTATTCCTGTAAGAGCACAGTGAGGAGACAGCTCTCCAGAGCACCCTGTTCAGGAACAGCATCCGAGGGTTGTTCCCCAACTGTTCATCAGAATGAACACTTTACCAGCACTGAAGTATGTGCCTATTTTAGGTCCATGCTTAAGAGCTTCTCAGAACAGGGCTGGATTTAAACTTATCATACAAATTCCTCTGCAAATCAGACTTCCAGACAAGAATGGTGTCAAAAGCCAATTGTTTGTAAAATATAACCCCATTGCAGGAGTGTTTCCACTGTTCAGCCCCTGCTCAAGTTCGCACAGATGCTGAGTTATTTCATTCCTTTCACCTCCCCAAGAGCCATGCCAGCTTGGCACAAACAGCTTCCTGAGGCTGTGACACAAGATCCAGCACTACGGGAATTTCCTTCCCTTACCTTCCATGTATTGTGTTGAAAATACTATTAAAAGGCAAAAGTCAAGTATCAAGTTCATTGGTTCCCCACTGAAGCAGTTCCTCATGCAGGGATAGGCATAATTCTGATGTCCCAGTATTATCCCTGTTTTCAGGCTCTCGTGGTTCCCTGAGGGCTCCAGCTGGGCTTGAGGCAGGCTGGCCAAAGGATCCTCAGGGGCATTGGCCAAAGGCCACCTGTAGAAATTTTGGCCCTTGTAAACACAGTTGGTTTTGTCACCGCAGCTGAAGGAAGGTGCCTGCCATGGACACAGCGAGAGTGGGGAGCAGCCCTTTGCTGGGAGCTGGGGGGGCCTCACTGCTGAAAAGCCTCATCCTGCAATGCTCTTGTGCAGTGTCAAGCCCTGCTGGAGCACCAGCCACAGAGACTTGCACTGATACCACATGTGAGGCTCTGAGAGGGGCACTGAGAACAGTTAAAACACACCTTAAACCAGCCTCTGCCAGCCCAGTGCCGAGGGAGCACATCCAGTGGCATGGCTGGGGCCCAAGGGGCAGTGCCAGTGGAGCAGGAGCTGTGGTACAGCATACACTCACCCTGAGCACCAGCACATCACCCTGCACACTGCACATGGCATGGCACACAGCACCCCACACACCGCACATGGGACAGCACACATGACACACGGCATGGACACACCACCTTACACACCATACACGGCATGGACACACCACCCTACACACCACACATGGCACAGCACACACCACCCTACACACCACACACGGCATGGACACACCACCCTACACACCACACATGGCACAGCACACACCACCCTACACACCACACATGGCACAGCACACACCACCCTACACACCACACATGGCACAGCACACACCACCCTACACACCACACATGGCACAGCACACACCACCCTACACACCACACACGGCATGGACACACCACCCTACACACCACACATGGCATGGACACACTACCCTACACACCACACATGGCACAGCACACACCACCCTACTCACTCCGTATGACATGGCACACAATGCCCTACACAGCATGCACAGCATGGTACACACCCATCCTATGCACTGCCTCATCAAGGCAGGGGTTAAGTTTTGGCTGTAAATAATATTGCTTAGACATTCAACAGCTGAAAAATAATAGTTTGCTATGAAGGGAATGGGGTTGATTTTTTTATCAACTGAGAAAAATAAAGAATTAAAACCTCGCTCCATCTGCTGGCCCAGAGCCTGCCCCACCCTGGCACACCAGCAGAGCTGCCCAGCACATGGAAGGACCTGCAGCACACACCTGTGACATGTGCCTGTTATTCATGGTTTTAGTTAAACAGCCCTTCCTGCCCAGCCTTTGCTCCAGATGCTGCCATGTGATGCTGCCAGGAGGGGGCTGGCTCTGCCATCCTGTCTAGCTGCTGCTGCTTTGTGCACCCCAAGTGCCACCCAGATCAGTCCCAACTTCAAAGCCAGAACTGGTGACTGAGCTGCAGGTAGGCTCTTACTCAGATGCTGTGGGTGAAGTTATCCACCTTCCCACTGGAAGTGACCAAGTGTGCCCACTGAGGAATTAAATATTTATTGGATTTTATGAGGTGATTAATGCCAGCACTCTCCCTGCAGCAGAGAAACCTCCAGCAGGAAATCCCTGCCCCCAGGCTGCTCCCTAATAACCAGAGCGTGCAGCGAGAATCCAACTAACCCCGGCCCCAAATGGCACAAGGTCCAACACTGTGGGTCTTGGGGAGCAAAGAGCAATAAAATGACCTTGACTGTGGAAGAAACAAGCAGCAGAGAGAAAGTGTCAGATCCAGCTGAAACTGCCCATGCCTCTGCTTATCTGAGCACATCCTGGGTGCGTTTGAGTCCCAACAGCACTGAACAGGGAAAAGAAACACGAGCAGCTATTAATACCCGGGACTGGAGGGGGCTGCCTTCCCAGAACGGCACCCGCTTCTTCCAGGTACTGTGGTCACATAAAGGCAAAGCCTGCGGGCTCGGCAGGCGGGGCTGGCGGGGTAACAGTGCCGCTTGCTGGCGACCACCGTCCGCCGGCTCGGCCGGAGCCCCCGGCCACGGGCGGGACCGCAGACAGCGCTCGGTGGACCCACCGCGGCCGTGAGGGACAGAGCAACGGAGCCAGAGCGAGCACCGCCGGTTCAGCCTCGGCAGCGCTCCCTGGGAGTCCTCGGAAGCTGGCGGTGATCCCTTTACTGGACCCCGGTGTCAGTGGCCGCCTGGCGTACCGGAGCCGCGCCGCCGCCGCAGCCCCTGCAGCTGCTCCACCCGTGAACTCGCCACCCGCGGGAGCGGGCAGTCCGCAGCCCCGCGTGCCCAGCCGCCCGCGCCGCCGCGCCCGCACCGGAACGTGCCCGTCCGGGGCCACTGACAGAGCCCCAGTGAGAACAGCCTGACCACCTCCAGTCCTCAGCCCCGGGCACAGCAACAAACTGGGGCACTCAGTGGCAGCAGGACCACGGCAAACTCTGACAAATCCCTCAGGATGAAATTAGAAGCAGAAGGTCTCTCCCCTCCCCAGTAGCAACTCCCAGGAATGAGAACTCAGGCCATTTATAGGCAGGAAAAAAAAAAAGAAAAATATTTTTAAGAGGAGCTTGGCTGTTTTGTTTTTTTTTTTTTGGTGGCTGGCACAAGGGACGTCCATCACTGACTGCGACCACAGTCATGGCTTCAGCCCCCAGCTGCCACCCGCTCCCCAGGGCAAAGCAGTGCAGCAACCCTGCCCCTGCAGCAACCCTGTGCCACTGCAAAGCCTTGGAGGCGATGGGCAGCAGATGGCTGTGGGGCATGGCAGGAGCCCGGGAGTGAGCCAACACCTGTCCCAGGCCAGCAGCCACAGCCCCAGGACAAAGATGCACACCAGCTCATCCTGGGGATCAGTCTGAGACTCCTGCCAGGACAAATAGACACAAAGGGGAAGGTGCCAGGGTGGCATAGAGAGGCAAAGGCTGGAGCCCGGCACGTGAGCCACGGCCTCTGCTGAGGAAATCCCAGCATGGAGGAAGAGAAACAACCAAAAAGCAAACTGGGAAAGTGGCATCTGGCACCTAGGAAAGCACAGCACGGAGCAAAGGAAGGACAGAAAAGCTGGAATGGAGGGGAGACGATGGCTAGGCCCATAGGAGGGTGTTGCCCATGGAGACTAAGCCCCATGGCTGAGGGACCCCATAGCAAGAGTGGGGCAGGATGGGGCTCACTGCAGAGCCAGAGCACTGCATCATGGGCAGCACAGTGACCAAGGTTGTCACAGCCAGAGAAAAACAGCCTCTGGAGGGGCCTGAGCGAGCCCTCCCACATGGAACTGGGAGCAGGCACAGCTGTGCTTCCCAGAACCCCTCGCATCCTTCCATTCCACGACGCAAAGACCATCTCCATGCTCTGCCCCCAAGCACACCGGGGAAGTTACGTGACTGAAGGCCACTGGATCCTCTCCCACACTAGCAGTGCATGGAGCTTTGCTCATCCCTCCGTGTCCTCTAGTGCTGGTGGTCTGTCACCGGGCTGAGTGTGAAGTAGTCACAGAGCAGGAGCAAGGCGTCGAACCGCTGGAGCCGCTGCAGTGCCTGTGCCAGCAGCGGGACGGTCACGGCGGCTCCCGCGTACGTGAAGTGCGTGACGAGCTGCTCAAACCCTGAGATCCGTCCCAGCAACTGGGGCACGAGCCCCAGCTCCAGTGCCAGGTGGCTGAAGTTCTTCACACCGTTCAAGGAAGGGTCCAACAAGAAGGCGAGTGACTGCACCAAGGAATGTGGCAGCTCTGCTATTAGGAGACCTGGGGGGCAGCATCACAGTGGAGCTGGGTTAGAACCTGTCCTACTTGGCCAGGATAAGGGAGAACAGAGCAGCTGGACTCCAGCTCCAGCCCCTGCCGAGCAGGTGACAGGACATCCTGTCAGGGCAGGCATCTCCTTCAACATCACTTTCAGAGCTCAGCAACATGGAGCTGGCTCAGTCCTGGGGAAGCTGGTAACTGGGGACAACTGGGCTTCCATCAGCCACTGGCCCGCAGGCCACTCAAGGCAGCATCACAGAAAATGCACCCTGTGAACCAGCACCAAAGGTCACAAGTCAGGTAAGTCCCTGTGATCCCTGGCACCTGCATGCAGGCATGGTGAGCTTCTGGAGGAGCTCTCTTCCAAGAACCTGCCTCTCTGATATCCCAGTACTCGGAGAATAAAGACGAGGCTGGAAGGCCACTTACCCTTGGCTGCGCTGCTGATCTGAGTCACCAGGCTCTGGGCATCATCCACCTGGTGAGACAAAGACCCCAAGGTTGGTGGCAGTCTGCTGAGAACAGCAACACCTGGCACTGTTCCCAGGGCCATCACAGGGGCTCACAGAATGGTGCTTCTCCTCCAGCTGTGCCATCCCGTATCAACAAACCTCAGTCCACATCTCTACCCCCCCATCGAGCCCAGCTCCTGCGCCTGAGCCTCGGCAGCAGTTCAGAGGAGTGATGAGGTTGGAGGAACTTACCGGCCGCTCCCCAGGGGGGATATCGGCAGTGGGATTTGGGAGGGTGGGGGGCAAGTGATGGGCCCCCTCCTGCACCACACCACTGCTCTCTGCCGGGATCCTCTTCACTGCCTGGCTCGTTGCATCGTCCGCCCGCTCGCTGCCCACAAACTCTGCCTGGGTGGAAAACTTCTGGAGGTCCAGCTCGGTGCATTCCACTGGTGCATGTGGCCACTTGTGCTGCATCTCAGAGGCGCAGGAGGAGAGGGGGGCCAGGGCCTCCACCGTGCCTGGCTGGCCCTGCCTGGGGGCGGGGGGCGGCAGGACCCCGGCCAGGCAGTCACCATGGCCTGAGGCCCGGATGAGGGGCTGGCTTTCCAGGAGGCTCCTGCCCAGCTGGGCCTTGGAGGCAGCACTGACCACAATGGCCGGCGGCAAGTCCATCTCTGGCTGGAGAGAGGGGAGCTGGAGACCCACAGCTTCCCCGTCCGAAATGAACTGCACTGCTTCCACAGGGCCTGGAACCAGAAACAGGCATGGCTCAGCAAACTCACCATCCAGCTCCATCCTTCCTCAGGGCATCTCAGCAGGTCCTGGGACACTCAAGCTGGAGCCCAGCACCACCTCCCTCCCCATGGGAAGGCACAAGAGCAGGTACCTTCTGCCTGCCTGTAGCAAGGGCTCAGGTTCTTCACACCCAGGCAGCAGGGACCAGACATCTGCTCCTCACACAGGAACCTGCCGGGCGCCGCTGCGGTCGGGAACATTGCTCGCTGGCCCGAGAAGTTCTGAGTCCTCAGGAAGACTTGGAGGACAGAAGAGAACCAGCCTAAGCAAAGGCCTGGATCACTTCCCCAGCACGTCCTCAGCCCTGTGGTATGTCTGCTGGCAAGGAGCCGGGAGCCATCAGCTCCCTGGCATGCTGCTGAATGCCAGCGTGCCCCAACCCTGGCCACCACACCTACTGCCCTCTTCCCTCAGCAGCAAAGAGCTGCCCAACTTGAGAAACCCCAGAAGTCAGGATTGTCAGTTCTCAGTGCAAAATGGCCTTCTCTGTTTCCTCCTGATGGCACCAAGGAGGAGGGAGGATCCTCTGTGTCTTTAATTAGGCAAAGCACACAAGAGGTCCTGCAGGCATGAGAAGCAGGGCAAGGTGTCTATTCTGTATGAGCCAAGTAACAGTTGGGTCACTGTGCTGTCAAAGTAGCAATGCTCAGGGCAATACTCTATGCAGCAAGAAGGAACCACGGGCACAGGTGAATAGCACAGAGAGGAGGAGAGCACTGACTCACCTCGCTGACACTGGCTCTTCCAAAACCGCTTGCAGTAGATGATGGAGAGTGCCAGAAGCACCAGGACAATGATGATCAGGGCACTGCTGGTCAGTGCAAGAAGGGCCGTGTCCTGTGGTGGTACAGTGGGGATGGCGACCTTCACCAGGTTAGTTCTGGAGCGACCTGCAAACATCAGCCACAAAACGCTGGAGCCAAACTGCGAGGCTTGGACCACCCCTTCCCATGTGTCCCTCGCCACATGCCATGACTGTGCCCCTCCTCCTCTGCAGCGGGGCTGCAGCTCCGTCATGTCCACACCACCCACCCCGATCTCGCCCAGTGAGGGGCACCTACACTGTGGCTCAGAGGAGGGCGTCTGCTTGGTGCAGGGGATGCACTCCCATTCCAGCTGCCCGCTGATCCGTGCTTTCCGGTAAAACCTGCCAACAGAGCAGAGGGGCTCAGCAGTGTCCAGCTCCTGGTGAGGCCCCACCAACCTTGCTGTGCAGCCAGCTGTGCTGCCCAGCCCATGGCAGTGGGGGACAGCTGACCCTCCACTCCTGCCCAGCCAGCTGGGCCACCCCCCAGCAGCAGGGCTCTCATTGCTGGCTGAAGCTGCACCGCAGCTACTTGTTCATGCCTAGCCATTTGCCAAGGAGTGACATCCCTCCAACAGCCCCCCCCTCCCTGGCCCCATGTCTGCTGAAGCAGATTATAGAGATAACCAGCTCTCCAGAGGACCGGGAACACCCCAGCTACAGCTGTGTCCAGAAAGAGGTTCATACAAAGCCTCAACTCACTCCTCTCCCAGGCCCACTGGTGGCCAACATGTGTCTGCAGACCTCAGGCTTGGTGCAAGCTGGCTGTATACAGCAGTTTCATTTCAGTAAGTCCTTAAACACATCACCCCTCTGTCCTCCTCTTTCGGGACCATCAACCACAGTGGCCTACAGCGCCTCATCTTTCAGGGCTTGGCCACACTGGTGTCCACAGAACAACTTGGGTCTGGAACTTTTCTTCCACAACTAATTTATGGAAGCCTTCAGGTTCCCTTCTCTGGAGCTACAAGGGGACCATCAGATCAGTCTGACTTCCATGTAATAAGCAGAGTCTTCGTAGAGGCAGGCCTGGGTCATCAGGCTCCTCTTAGGTCCCACGACCCAGGCAGCTTCAAATGCCCCCCTCTGTGCCCACGCCCTCCCTGCCTGGCCCCAGCGCAGCCACAGTGGCTCTGCTCACCCTGGCAGGCACTCCCCGCACACCGCGTCGGTCGTCGCCGTGCAGTTGGACTTCTGGAAGCGGTTGATGAGGGCGCAGGACAGGCAGGGCTTGCAGCCGTGGTGTCCCCAGCGGTCCTTGAACTTCCTGGGAGGGCAGGCCACGCACTGCGCGTCCCCACCGCTGCCGTCACCGCAGTCCTGCAGGGCACAAGGTTGGGGGCACGGCTGCAAGGGGCCACGGTGGGTTCCAAATGCTACTGAGGGGAAAAGTGTCCCTTCTTTGGGGGCAAAGGGTAGTGGGGCCACTACTCATGTGCAGGGTTCTCAGAACAGTCTCGTGCCCGGCCGTGCCCTTCCGGCGCACTGCGGCTGTTGGAAAGCTCCAGCAGCACGGTGCCCAGGGAGGCACCTCGGGGGAGACCCCGCTGGGACACCCCTCCTGAGGCTGGGCCGGGACCACCCACAGCATTGTCCTGCTGGCACCCACCCACGTGCAGCCCGGCCAGGCAGTGACCTCAGGGCTATGGACCAGAGGAAATTCAGACTTCCATCAGCAAAAAATGAAACAAGGCAGCATGAGGAACAACCCAAAATCCCTCACCACCTCCTGCTTCCATTGTCTCACCCTCCTACCCAGGGAGGGTGAAACAATTCACCATCCCATCCTACCATGTCTGAGCTCTTCCCAACATTCCAGGACCTAAGATCATTCTTCTGAAGGGAGGCTGGAAGAGGATTCACCCAGCACTGTAAAAGCCTTGGTGATAGATGACTCCCACTCCTTACGGAGCAGTCAATTTACCTTGGAAAGCTCCTGCCCAGGCATGCACTTTCTGCAGGGGACACATTTCTTCTGGTCATCCAGGTACTCGCTCTCCTGGCAGGCCATTGTGCTGGAGAGGAGTGGGGAGCCTGGGGAGGAGAGAACAAGAAGGCAGAGGGGTCACACCCAGCCCCAACACCTTTGGGATGAGCAGCGTGCCCTTCTCTGGGTGGCCATTTCCACCTGGCCAGGATGGCAGCTGGCACTGCTGGGCACCACGAGTGGGACTCGGGCAGGAGGTGGTTGCTGGTTCCTGCCGCACAGCTCCAGCAGTCCCAGATGGGCTTCCCAGCAAGGCTGCAGATGAATTGCCCCGTTAGCTGCCACCTCACAGCCTCACAACGGAACAAATGAAATTTCAGACCCAAGACTGAGGCAGACCCACCGACTGCTTGGGTCACCAGTGGATTCTGCCAGCCCCAGCCATAGCTCTGGGTACCTGAGATGGTCAGCAGAGAGCTCAGCCCCAGGAAAGGCCCAATAAAGTCCCAGCTTCAGAATCCAGCAGCCCAGCTCTGGCCAGCATGGCTGCATTGGTCTGACAGACCAAATGCTGGTCACACACACACCTGTGTCCTTGCTGCTCTGCCCTGGATCTGCGTGGCCACTCAGGCTGTTGCTGTGCACACATTCTGGCTCAGCGTGGGCTCACTCACAGTGACCTCAGAGGACCAGCAGAACAAGTAGCTCAGACTGAAGCTACAAAACTGAGCAATTTATTTGGAGTTTTGGGGCCGTCTGATCAATTCTGGTTTTTGCAGTGGAGGGGGAGCAGCTGCAGGACCCCCAGCACTCCAGCCCCTCCTGACAGAACTCCTTCCCCCCTCCCACGGCAGCATTCCTCTACAGGCTTTTTCTGCCTCCTCTGCCTAATTCCACCACTCCCTTGCTGGTGCCTTTTGGAAGCAGACACTTGGCTGGGCTCCCCCAGCTCTGGAGGGCCGAGATTCATGGGAGATGAGGTCTGCCCGGACGAGCACAGTGCGTGAGTCACCCTCACGCAGCTCCTGCTCACGGCGCACGGGCTGATACAAGGATTGCAGCCGATCCCTCGGGGACAGGCCATGAGGAGCTGAAGGGGCTAAATCTGTCTTGCAAACATCTCGGGAGGGGCATGGGCACAGCCTATAAATAGCGTAAAGGTTCCTGACACTATCAAATAAATAAAGGAGATTTGTCACCACCTCAGAAGGTGGTGAAGAGGGAGCTCAATGCCACTGCCCTGGGAAACGCACAGGGTTTCGTGTCAGGGTTCAGCTACAGGCTGAAGGCAGGAGAGAAAATGAAAAGCAGAGAGATGGGTCCCAGAGGGGCGACACCCAACCGCTCTGTGGGGCCAGCACACCAGTGGCCTGAGCCCAGCCTCTCGGGGAGTTCGTGCCCGCAGCCAGGCTCGCCCCTGCTGGCAGGTGCCTCTGGGGTACGGGGTCACCACAGCCAATGCTCAGCTCTGGAGTTTGGTTCCGGCTCTTGCACAAGATGAATGAAACAAAATTGCAGGCAAGAGGAAAGGAGCCCAGACACCAGAGTGTGGAGAGCAAGAGACTGATCTTTATCTGCTCTCCAAAGTGCTGCTGTAACACCAAAAAAAGGCTCTGGTGGAAAAAAAGGAAAAAACAACAACTCCCCCCACAATAAAATACCCCTAACCAGCAGGCTTTTTGGTAAAAACTGTCTGAGAACACAATCCAACCAGTCTCATATTTTTACAGCCTTTTCCGAAGGGCCTGCAGCTGGGTGCCCTCACAGCCCCGTCCCCACGAGAGTCCCAGCTTAAAGCAGTTCCCCGAATACAGAAAGTTACACAGGCCAAAGGAATCCCACACCAGAGCTGCTCCACGTGTGAGGATGTCTGCCAAGATGATGGAATTGCTGAGGATGGGGGAGACAGCCCTCCCCGCTGTGCCAGCAGGATACTGGGCACAGGGCAGGCCTGCTGCTGCTCAAGCCACAGCGTAATGATAGAAGGAACGAACACTTTGTTGAATATCTGGCACGAAATTCAAAGCTGTGGGATCTTTGTACTTCTTATTTCAACACCACCAGACCCAAGACACTTGATTTGTATGTGGAGGACACATCCAAACCACCCGATGCTGCCCCAGTAACCTTGGATCGTCTAATGCTTGACTGAAACAACTGGTCCTAATGAACCGAAAGAAAAAGCCAAAACCAAACAACAAACCCTCCCACCTCTTTGGGAACCACATGGGGTCTCTAGGTGACTGCCAGAGGAAACCGGCAGATTTATCTGCCAAAGAGGAATATAAAGCTAACATAGTATCAATGAGTATACATTGGACACAGTATCAATGTACTTATAGGTTGGGGGAAAGAAGAATCTCCTGCCCTAGTGCGAGATCCATGAGATCTTCTAACTTAAAAACATCATTAATTTGTTAAAGAACTCTTTCATTGCCTTAAAGAGACATCCTGCCTGAGCAGGGAAGCAGAGCAGGCTCCCCACTGCATCATCCCTTAAGACACCAAACCCACGAACTGATGAATGAGTTTCACTGCATGAGATGAAATCGTTCCAGCAGTGCCACAGTATGAGCTGCAGTTCATCCACCCCGTCACAATGCTGTGGTTCAGCCATTGTCTTTTGTCTGCAAAAGTGTGATTTTCAAAAAAATTAGATTATATAGGAATATAAATTACTTCTTCTGTGTCCAGCTAATGGATTCTGGTAGGAAAAAGAGGGTGAGAAAATTAATAAGTGAAAGGGTAGAAAATGAAAGTGATCAGTGAAAGCATTAGCGCTGCTGATTCTCCCCATCTGCCCAGCATGCACCGGGCAGAGGGGGGTAGCAGGGGTGCAGGCAGAGCAGGGAGGGCAGGCAGGCCAGGGGGGCAGGCTGGGGTGCAGACAGGGCAGGAGGAGATGGGCTGGGCTGGTCCCTGCTCCAGCCATTGACCCCGTGCCCTCACGCCATGGGTCTCTGCATGCTTGGGACAGGGAGTGCCCGGAGCCACCTTCAGGGACTCGGACACCCACACCCCGGCAGTGGCTCTTCCATGTCACCACGGGAGCCAGCACAACCTCAGAAGTGTTTCCTCTGCTGCAGGACTGACTGGCACAGCCAGGCAGTACCATACCTCAGATGAGACACTTGTATACATTGGGCTCTATTTCAGAGAGCTGAAATCCTAAATAAGAACTGCAAGTGAAAAGCAGGGGAAAAAAATGTTATCTGGAAAACATGAGTGCACTCCTCGTGCTCGGCCACAGCCAGTCCCGGTCTCCTGCTCAGCCATTCTCCCACTCCGGTCCGGACACCGTCTCTGCCTCTCCCTGTGCTACAAACCGTGCTGGGAGAGTCTCTGCTGCAGCGGAGGAAAAGAGGTGGAATCTGAGGCTTTCCATGCGGCTTGGAAATCAGCAGGTTTTCCAACACTTTTGGAGATTCTACGCATACAATTGCCCACTAGTTGTTTAATCTGGAGTGGCTGAGAACTACTGTTTGCTTTAGGTGAAAGCACCGTGCTCTTGGGCGGGGAGGGGAAGTGCTCCGGGCTGCTCTCACCCGCTTCAGCGCACGGCAGGAGTCCCCAACGCTCACTTTCCAGTGACTTTTGCCAAGTTCAGGCTGTTCACCTTGGGGACTCACACTCTGCCTTACCAGATATCTCAAGTAACACTTCCAAAGCTCCTATCAATTCGCATAAAACTTCGGATTTTTTTGCCCCGCATCTAGTTCTTAGTAATTGTCATTGTCTTGCTGCAATAATCACAGAATCACTGAGACTGTAAAAACCCTCCAAGATCTTCGAGTCCAACCGTTCCCCCAGCACTGACCCATATCTCCAAGTGCTACATCCACACGTCTGCTAAACCCCCCCAAGGGATGGGGACTCCACCACCCTCCGGGCAGCCCGTGCCAGGGCCGGACAATCCTTTCGGGAAAGAAATTGTTCTTAATATCCGACCTAAACCTACCGACCTCCGCACCTGGCGGCTGCTCGTTTCTGACAGAAAAGCGGAGGCGAGGCTGGCGGCGAGACGGGTGCGGGGGC